TATAACTACGTATTCTATAGTACACCATACAGTTTTAGCTCGAGAGTTACAAAGATATTGTTGTAACTGTACTATACATAGTATATCGTTAAAGTACCATTCTTGAGCTGTGACCTTATTCTGTCTTACAGTATACAGTGTATATATACCATAGTACATATTATATGAAACGTACTACATGGCATTCAATATATATTATGCAATTACAGTACTATTCGTAAAACTCTTCTCGATATATGTCTATGCACCATATGAAGTATACTGAAACACCTGAAACGTTTCATGAACTATAGCTGCATACTATGCTAGAGAATACAGACCAGTTACATTATTATTCTTGAAAATCTTTCCAAATTATAGCTATGCATTGTACACTAAAGTACGCAGAGTTTCAACAATAGTACTGTAAGTATTCTTGAAAATTTTCTCTTGCTGTATCTATGGGCTCTACATAATATAGTTATACAGAAGCAAACCGCCAATGCCAGTTTACTGTTGCTGCTTGACGTTTCAGCCGAAAAAATTTGGCCATCCTTGGGATAAACAATGAGATACAGAAATCCGAACATCCGAGCTCAAGGTTACAAGAGCCATCTATGAAAAACAGCATCAACGCGGTCTACTTATACACAACACAAACAGGCCTTTTGAGGCCTTTTGGCTCCGAAACTGTCGACTGCTGCGCACGACCAACTGCATTCACGACACTTACCTACCACCAGCCTACCTTGAAGAAGGTTCGAGAGTCATGGGCCGAAATGTCGGTACTGGTCAGTTACCGGAATGACCACATTAACTTTAGTGTTGTGTATAAGTAAACCGTTTATACACTGCTTTTTCAATATGACCGCCAACGCATGAACGAATTGCTCTGTCTTAATAACTATTTATATACATCTGTTGCGCTGTTTGATTTGTCTAACTTTTGAGACCCGAAATTTGTCTAAGTGCTTCTTAGCATAGGAAAGCAAGTTGAAGCTTCGACCCTGACCTGTGAACGTATGTGCCTCTAATGACAGTACTAACCTTACGGATAAACCAGGCACGATTTACATCGCTGTTTACGGAATCACGCACTACCGGCATAAATCAGAGAGCCACTGTCGATAACGTTACGCTGTTTGCGCTTCAACTAGTTTCCAGCTAAGCCAATAGGTAGTGCTGTTTCTGGTCCTGCATAAGCTATTTGTCGAACAGTTCGTGCCAGCCGGCACCGAATCACAAAATTCCTCGGAATGAAATCAATATATTGCGTGTTAATTAAGTAATTAAGCATAGTTTCGCCGTAGTTTTATGCCACATTGTTAAGTTTCGATTTGCCTTTACGAGCAAAGGGGAATTTTAGCAGGTGCGGGGCACTGATATATTTCGCATGGTTTAATCAGGTTGGTCGAACGCTTACGCATATTTAATAAAAATATCAAATACGTCAATATGTTGTAGCTGCTGTTGTTGTAACTGTCCACTGCTTAAACGACTTCTTAAGCTTCGAAATAAATGAGATTACAACAAAATCAACGAGAGCACTGCTATGAACCTGAAATCGGAGGCACAACGATTTTGCATCTTAAAATAGCGAACTGTTGCATTAAAAAAATGGACATAGCGTAGTTCACTTCCCCACTTCCTCCTCCGTTTAAAGGATGAACCTAAACGGTACGTAAAAATTGGCGAATTCCTCGAAAAGCGATAAAACAAAACACAGTAAGCTAGAAATAAACAAAGTCGGATTAAAATGGCATTAAAAAGAATGACGACGCAAAGCTTATTAATCGGGATTAGGATGAAGCATTTGGAAGAAACGAAGCAGTGCAAATCATCTAAAATTCTTTTCGTCTATTCATGTTCCGATGATTCCGGACTAGCGTGTGAGAGTTTCTACAGTTTTCCTTTCATTATAACTTCATTTTGGATTAACCAGATTGTACTCCCTTCGACTACAGGATGTCGCGTTTTGTCGTAGCTGCACACAGTGTTATAAAGAATCCAACTGGAAAAAAACTTTTGGAAAGTGAAACAGTACAACGAACATCCACGCTGAATATACAAAACACAATTATAATAGTAATAAGAGAAGCATAATTTCGTTTCGGTTGCAATGTCGTATTTCAGTTTCTAAACACATCAACTTTTGCAATTATTTTCTTTTTTAATTTCGTCGTATGTATATTTTTTGATCCAACTGCTTATTTTTCACAGGTATCATTCGATCTCTTCTATTCTTAACTAAGTCACGTACCGTTTAAGCTCATGTTTCAAAAAGGAACAGCTACACCATGTTTGCAACTTACCACAGATGATTCACATGCTTAAGATGCACGATCGTTGTGGATGTTAATGCGGATTCGGAATGATTTTGTTTTAAACTGTGACATTCGACTGTGGTTTCATAGAAGAAAGGGTTTATATCAGTAGATACGCATTCTGTCATCAAATATATCCAGTACACAAATATGGAATATTTTGTAGTGTCGTTAGTGTCAAGGGGCCAGTCACCTGCCAGAATGAGACGACTTCATGGCTATGTGCCAATTAGTAAATCAGACGCTGGCGTTGGCGCAGGCTTTACTTTTTACCTTGGGCAAGCCAGAGCCGCTAAAATGCCGACGTACGTAAACAGCTGGCGCATCGGTATTTACAAACTCTAATCCGCTGCCAAGCAAAGGGTTGCCACAGAGATTAAAGCGGCTGTCCTGCAGCTATTTAAATAATAATAAAATTTTAGTTTTAAAATTCTGTCTTTACATATACTGAAAATATTGTCCGGAAGACATACCATATTTACAAAAGCAGTCGGCAGCCTGAACGTTTTACGATATAGCCTACTAACAAGTTATGGGTGCATTCGAATAAACAATCAGCAATAGATCAGTCTGTCGGTAAATCGATGAAATGCCGTGCATTCTTTCGCATACGACCTTAAACCATTGTAAACACAGTTGGTACCGTCCACCTGCCTATTTGCCAAACGAAAGCTTGTTTGTTCACTCTAGCGCGAATTCGGTTCTCGCATTTCCGATGTCAAAATCCACTTTTCGACCGGATGCACTTCTGAAGTCGAAGAAATGCGCTACATCCGTCCATGCCAATAACTTTCGATTTGGACGGTTATTTACTGTATTTTAAAGCAATTGAACAACTAAAGCTTCTATTTGCGAAATCGAATTGTAGGACATTTGACAAATTTTGACCTTATGCACTACGATAAGCTTGACATTGCCACAGGGCAGCAGTTTCAGACGTTTCGAGATCACGTCAGTACGATCGGACAACAATGAATGTGATCACAATGCGATACGAGTGGAAAACTTTAAGTGAAGTGCACAGGACCTCGTCCAATTCGCATTAAAGGTAACTAAGATCCTTGTCCTGTCCTGCATGACACTGCCCAACAAAGAGCAGTTGTTCAGCGTGGCATCCATAGTGAAAACCGGGGAGATTCTGGAGAGTATAACGCCTATGACAAAAGGTCAGACGATTATGTTACGAGCATAGACGATTATGTGAAAAGCAACAGCATGACAGATATGCTCAAATAATGGTGGTTATTGCGAAGATTTAGTATTTTCATGATATGCATGAAAATCATTATACGAAACTCCGCCATGGCCGGTCCCAAGCCCGGATGAGAAAGGAGGAGGGTTGGAGACCGTGGCAAGTC